GGTGAGGAAACAAGAGAGGGAGGGGGAAGCAACAATTCTTTCCTAAAGATCGTGCATTTTATTTTGCTTTGTGATCTCCAATAAAATATTTAGAGGAGAGGTACACAAGCACACACCAAAACACCCCACAGGCTGCAGCTGAGCCCGGCTGCGAGGCAAAGATGTTTCAGGAATACCAGATGTTTGGCAGAAATGCATTTGTCAGAAAAATGTGAGCTTTCCATAACTTTTTCAAAGTCGTTCCTCCTCACATGACTGCTGGAATCCAGACGGCTCCTCTGTGGCGCTCTAACAACTGAGAGCTTCAAGGACTGTTCATGCATGATTTAATTCATTCATCTAAGGGTTTGCCAAGTTTTTGCTTTTCAAATTTATGAAGAAACACAAAATATGGCATCAAAATGATGCAGAATCACAACAACAACAACAACTCTGCTCATTGCTGCTCCCATTGCTGTTATTGTCATCATCGGAGGAGCAAAGCTGGAGGGTCAGATTTCCTCAGCTGGGACTTTTCAGCATGGAAAAAAACTGCAGACGATGATCTGGCAGCAGCCAAGTGAAAGTGGAAGACTGATGTAATCCTCCAAAATTCTGTTTTTCATGTGCGTTTGTTTTGAGGAAACATAATTAAGAGCCTAGATTTCAGATGTAAGATGTGCAATTAGTATGTGTGGACGTTTAAAACAAGGCAAAATGTTAGAACTATTAACATTTGGAGTGGAGTCACTGCTATGACCCAGTTAGAGGTTCTGATTCATTACAAGTGTGGAACACTGAAAAACAATTTTTAAACTCTTATTTCTGATTATGATCGGTCACTCTGAGTTTAACATGTAGGCTGAAGATGAAAATAGTCTCCTACACCTATCTCCTGCATTAACTTCTGATAGAAAATAGACGGTTAGACTCTGGGATTAGAAAAGCCTGACAGATCTACGTCACACTGTCACTTAACATTCATGGACTCATCCATTTTGACTCGTAACGAGGAAGACTGTTGTTAGTTTAGTGTCCAGGAAACAGCAGAGAATGTCTTGGCTAGTTGAAGCTAACCGTTAGCATTAGCAAGTCCACCACACAGCAGAACTTCTCCAGGCTCATGTTATTTGTTGAGATAAAACATCAACGTGTCAGAGCAAACATAGTCTGTGGTAGAGTCGTGTTGCTGTTAGCCAATCCAAAATGTCCAAATATCAGGAAATACAACCCCAAATTCCATAGACATGAATACGTAGACGCTCCATTGGGTGCTGCCAAATTCGGTGGGTTCCTCATGCTCCAAACCCAACTGGAGTCAATGCAGGGTGGGCAATTATGCACGTTTTTTGTCCAGTCTACAGTTGCAACAACCAGTGCACTATTGAAAACAAATCACGTGCAATTACTGTTGACTTTTTAGCTTACCTGTTGGGAATTTATATTCTAATTTTACTTATTTCAATAGATTTATGTTTTAAAACCTGCCATACCATTTATTTTCTTTGTTTGTTCTGTGTTTACTTTAGTAATCCATTACTTTGTTCTTTCTTTACACAGTTAAGTAAAAAAAAGTTTTTTTTAACCTGACAAGTTTTTGACTAATGCCACTAGTCATTTAGTTCACCGGTGTTGGTCACTTCCGTTTATCCGCGAGCAGCAGAGGACGATGTTGCTCTCTACTACCCGCATCCTTCTTTGCTGATGACACCGTCCCGTGCCATAAGATCTGTTTTTAGTTGTGTAAACACCTTCCTCAGTATGGATAAATGCACTGGGGGCAAATGGAGACCCATCCAAGATGGCAGCCAGCCACTACAGCAGCTCCAAAAGGCAGCGCCAATCCATGGGGTATCCACATATATGATGTCTGTGCCTAATCCTGTCATCTTAAGCTCAGCTTTGAAGCAGCTCATTTTAACTTCCTAAAACTGGTGCACCGGAGCTTTGTTTCCCTAGAATATTACTGCAAATGTACTGATTAAACAAGTTATCCACACCTTTAAAGTGGGTTTCTGTGAACAACTACTAACGTTTTAACAACTGTTGTTGCTTGCACTCAGTTTGAATAAACAAAACAGATTAGGATTGACTGGGTAACAGTTAGTTATGTATGGACAAAGATGAACCTTTCCAACATACCACTTTTGATGTGAAGGTTTTTAGAAGTAGTTAATGCTTTTGCTATCAGAGGTGCTCCGGGAAGTGGAGCAGCTAGCTGCTACTGCTACATATAAAAAACAACCACAAAAGTTAATATAAAAGTGAGTGAAATGAGAAACAGACAGTGATGAAAATATTTCTAAAGCTACAATTGCATTAATGTTGATGGAAAGTTATGGGTTGTTGGCATAAATCCACTTTGTTATAAACTAGCCATTAGCGCATCAATCCAAAAATGAGTAATCTGTCATGATCATGCCTGGATCCCTGTGTTTTCCTGTCTCCCTGCAGCAGCAATAATCTAGCTGATTAATTCCACCTGTGCTGTTCCCTATTTAAGCACCTGGCTCCTGCTGCTCAGTGCGAGATCGTCTGCTGCCCTGTCACAGTCCTTCGAGCGTTTGTGTCTGTCTGTCTGTCTGTCTGTCTGTCTGTCTGTCTGTCTGTCTGTCTGTCTGTCTGTCTGTCTGTCTGTCTGTCTGTCTGTCTGTCTGTCTGTCTGTCTGCCTGCCTGCCTGCCTGCCTGCCTGCCTGCCTGCCTCTGTCTGCCTGTTTATTTTTGACCTCAGTCTGCCTGACCACAGAACCCGTCTAGTACCTCAGTCCCAGCCTGAATCTGAGCACTTACCTTCATTGGCATCCCTCACCTCTGGGCACCGCTGCTGTTTTCAAAAGGTCAGTCACTCTTCAGATTAAGACATCTAAATCATCTCCCTCGCTGACTGTCTCCCGGGCCACGCCACCCGGAACCGACTCCAGCTGGTCCCGATTGCGTTAACAAGTCCTTAAATAAACTCTTTGAAACTTTCTCTGTGTTTGGCTGTTGTTGGATCCGGCTGATCGTCACGAGGTCTGACCGTGACATAATCTTTTTCCAAACTGACGTAATTCAAAAAGCTATCTGCTACAGGCATGGACGTAATTTTGGGGGGGGACACATGTCCTCCCCACTTTTTCCAAGTCAAGTTTCGACACCTGCACTTTTTACCATCCCAAAAAAATATTACACTATATTAAATTGACACTGGTTGAGCTCTAGGACCAAGCAGAAAACAACCGTTTGTGTTGAAGCTTGTTTCCCATTAGAAAAATCTGTAAAGCCCCCCCCCCCACACACACACACACACACTACTAAAGTGAAAATTACGTCCATGGCTACAGGTAAGGTATTAATTGTTCATAATATTTCCTTAGAAACCCTATTGTTAGGTGTTGAATTAACGTAAATCCTCTAATATTAGCCTGTATTTAATTAACTGCCAGGTATCATATTTTGGCCGGTGTTGGAGTCTGCGGAGGTGAACAATGGCTGGTTTTTTATTGTGGCCGGGTGGAATGTGGTAACAAGCAAGTACCACAGGGGGTGGGGTGGGGGTTGTGGCGGTTGTGTCATCCGTCTCACTTTTGATTTGCCAGTGATAGACCGCGAGGGTAACTTTAACCGTGCGGAGATGAAGAGGAGGCGAAAAGTTGATATCAAGTTCAAAGAGAACGTGCTGATTATGCTGCAGGACACTCTGGGGAGCAATAGGGGTTGTATGAACTAGTCACTAGTCGACTTCACCGCTCTATAGTGACTTTTTATGCCTGTCATCGACTAGTCGCTGTCACGTGATAATGACCGGCAAGATGCAGTCCTCGGAAAAGACAGCAGCCTGCTGTCAGCAGGTGACAAGCTCCTGCGCGTCGGGAGGCAACGCGCTGTGCAGGAGCATCGGCACTGACACCCGCCGTAAAACGGACATTTAACCAGATTGTGACCTTTACCCTCTTGCAATTTAACCTTCCCCTCACCCCCATCCTAACCTTAACCAGCTTGTGCATGCAAAGCTCTGATTGTTGACGCGATCCAGACATCTGCGTCCTGAGCACGGCCACAGTAACATTATCAAATCAGGTGTCGCCACCTCAAAAACTAATTTAACATGCGATCGTTCATGTCGGCTCATTTCCTTTTATGTTTTCTGTCTTTTATTCTTTTTATTTGTGCCTGATGCGTTTCGCTGCTGTGGATCAGGGCGCATCACCTGTTTTATCCTCGGTGCGCACCGATCACTGATGTGGCCGGCGAGCAGCGCTCACTCCGCTGTTTTTGCGGTCGGTAGATCTTTTAGAACTGCAGTTCAAAGGTAACTCATGAGGTGAATATACATGAACCCAGGTAGCAGTTTTTCTGTAGGATTGAGAGGAGATGCAGGAAGATAATAAACAGAGACAGGACAGAAAAATAGTCAAATAAAAACAAGTTAGTTTTTGTACCTGGTGGTTGCAACAAACAGTCACTATTAAAGGTAATCAGAAGTGAGGAACAGAAAATGAAATAATTATTTTAATGTTTAGAGCAGCAGGAACACTGAGAGGCTGAAGGCGCATCAATGAGTTTGCGGCCGCTGCGCAGGGGGAGGGGGAAGAGGGCTGAAGCAGAAACTACCGTTGTTAAAAGAAATGTGTTTAACTTTGAAAATGTGGGCACAATTTTAATTGTCAAAAACTCCAGCGAACCATTAGTTCATTTTGCTCAAATAGAAATTAAGGCCTGCCTCTAATTCTGGTCCTCCTTCCAATAAATGCCTGGAGCTTGATGAGCTTGAGTCAAATACAGGCCCGGGCCTGTATTGGAGGATTTACAGTAAACAACTATTTTCCGTCTAAATTTAGAAATTGAAGAAACAAACAGCTTTATAGTTATTTTGATCTGATTTAAAGCCAAATGTACATTTAGCTTTTTCTACTGTAGATCAGCTAATACGCAAAATGTAATTACATTTTATGTGCATGCATATAGAAGTGTACATATAAAAATCTGAATTAAAAAGGATCTCCGTCTCAGTGAAGGAATACAAAAAAGACCAGAGAAGAAAAATCTCATTCCATTTTATTTATAAGATCATTACTATAAATATTTTTACTATTATCATTGTTACTGAAGAAATATTCAGTTCAAACTGATGTAAAAAACAAAACAAACAAAAAAAGAGCACCACTGTGTGTCAAATAAATATCATATTGGTTATTTTGATTTTGGGGTGTTTCACAGTTTGAGGAAACTCCCTGAACTTACATAATCTGAACAGACTAACAAAATAAATGCAAATGGGAATGATTTAATTATTGTCATGTTTTGCCTCTGTCCAGCAGGACTCCTAATGACAACATACAAAAACAACCAAAAATGTGACTTTTTCAGACAATAATAACAATAATCATACTTATAATAACAATTTCCCTTTAGAAGGGTATTTTTTAAGATTGCACCATATTGTTGAAAATCATACTGAAGCAATTAGTTCTGCTCATATTAAACAATAATGCAGTGGAGGCTGAAAACATTGTCAAAAAATATATTTCCCATCTGACTGCTTGCACTGATCAGTCTTGGTAAGTTTGACATCAATAAGAATTCCTGAACCAGAAGGAACAAATGTGTTAGAAGTTCTCAACTTCATTTGGAAAGACAACTGGCTCTAGTATCTTCCAAAGGTTTGACTAACATAACAAATTCAAGTCTGTATCAAAGTGTAATAAAACTGCATAATGTGTTAAATGCAACTTCATCAAATCTATTGAAACATTTACAGTTTATTAGAAAAAGTCAGAAATTCTTTTGATTTCTTTTGATTTTTCAAGAAATTTCAAAAATAAAAACATGTGGCTTGGTAATTGTTGCTGGGAGGCGTTTTGTGAACAATTCACACCGTCTGTTATAGACAGCTTCAGTTTGAGAAACAGTTCAAAACCGATTAACAAATTTTCCAGCTTTAATTTCTTTAATTCCCCATAATTTTATATAAATCATATTTATTTTACATATTTATATCACTGTCGTATTCACATTATGTGGCTATTACATCTGAAAGAGTCAAATATTTCTGCTGGATGAAGCCACTAATTATCACAGAATTTAATGTAAACAACCATTCAATGTGAAATTGATTATGATATTAAAGTTTATAAATTAGCATTAGCATGGATTACTGTAAAGAATTTTACACTGGAGTCAATCCACTTAGATTACACCAATTCTGTCTGAACTAAGATGTTTCTCCAAGCTGACATAAAGGAGTTACCAAGAACATTTTAAGATATCAAATTTTCATAAACCTTCCACAGAAACAAACCTAAGGAAGTCCTAGAATAAGTTTTTTTTAACTGGAAACTGATCCTCATTAAACTTTGTTGGGGCTCACAATGGCCCAGGAGCCCCAGGCCACTGTGAACTTGTGTGATAAATGGCCAAATGCAACCCCATAGTAAAGCAATGAAAGGCCCAGTATCCCCGCCCACACAGCCAATACATGAAAATGAGAAATATGGGGTTGTGGACAAATGACGAAAAGGACAAAAAACGCAAGTTGTGCATTTATCTGGCATTAATTTAAATTCCAAATTTTCCTGGTTCATCCAGGAATGTTACAGGTCAGCTCCGACATTCTTCTTTGTTGTTTTCTTCTCATTCATCACGGACATTAGCAGTAGCTCGGGCCAGCATTGGCAGTAGGGCTAGCATTGATCTACTGTCAGCATAACCACGACCAATGTTTATACATTCCTGACATTGAAGTGAGTTGGGACATGCTAATTTGAGAGTGGGTGTCTATGCCTATGACTAGTTATACAACCTTCCCTCAGAAGAAACCGTTTCTTTGTGGCCATTGCGATATTACTAATTTGTAGGAAATCAGCTCAGAGACCGTATGCTACGTTTGAAACCCCAAACTGCTTATATGACAACAATTTAGGACCAAAATTGCCGTTTCTGTGCAGTTTTTATGGGTTTTATATATCAGAGTGCTGTGGCTTTAAAAAAAAATTAAAGGTGCATTATGTAGAAATGAAGTAAAAATGCAAGCACTTTAACAACTCCGGAGCTTTTTGCCAGCTGTGGTCAAATTACAATTGTCGGCGCTGCAGTATTAGCTCGTAGGGGACGCGGCAACTCCACACTCACTGATGGTAAAAAGTAGTTATGTCCCTCCTTCCTTTGTTTTGAAAAGAGAAAAACTGACAATCCACGCAGCCAGCTGGATATGAAATATGTTTCAGTACAACCTTCCTTCCAAAATGACTGAAACATTACTCTTTTGGGATTTCCCCACTGTAACATTCTCACTATATTCTTACATACTGCACCTTTAAAGCAATAAATTCAAATTGAAAAGTGCAGAATCAAAACAAAAGAGAGTGGAACTGTTAAAAAAACAAAACAAGACTGTATGGCTGTGTTCCAGAGCAATGAGATGTGAATCAGACAGCAGTTCAGCTGGAGTCGTCCAGTCAGAGAAGGATGGGATGACTTATAATAGGCACGATGAAAGATGAGTCTTTTGGTTTCCCTTTTCTGTCATAGATATGGTCTTGATTTCTGATCATAAAGAGCACATGTAAAAAGTTAACGTACAAATGTAATTTTTCCTGATTTCAGTTTTACGGGCCTTTTCCTTTTTTGTTGCACTTACAAACCACCAAACATATTGTCCCCCTTTAAACCCGCTCATTGGTTTCTTCCTCACAGTCAATTTGTTCTTGTTCACTCTGTTCTTTGTCATCCACCTTTCATGCCCTCAAACCCTCTCTTTCAGTCAGTCTGCAGCAGTCTGTCAGCGACCCGTTGGTCCGTCTACACCTTATCCAGCAGTGATCTCTGACAGTAGAGGAGGCGTCGGGGTGTGCCGTACTTCCTGAAGAACAAGAGTGCTCCCAGAGTGACCAGGACCAGCACCAGGAGGAGGATAGGGATCACCACGCCCACCACCCAGGAGCCTCCCTCTGATTCCTCAATGATGATGACCGTCCGGCCCTTCTTGGGCTCTTCGCTCTCGCAGCCCATCCAGTCACGGAGCACAGACTTGGGGTAGCCGGACTCCACCTTCATGTGCTGGTTGTTGAACTTCCAGTACTTGTTGGCCTTGTAGAAGTAAGTGTAGGCTGAAGAAAAATAACATTTAGAGATTAGGGATTAGTGTGGTGAGTTTCTAAAAATGAATAAAAATGTAAATAAGGATGCTCGATATTATCGGTCCACCACTGAGTGATGGGTCAAATGTGGAGATGAATTTCACCCGTGTGTGATGATGACTAATGGGCCTTTAACTTTATACAGAAAAAGAAGAAATACATTACTAACTATTAAACACATCTTAGTGTTACGCTTAGGGAGAATAAGATTCAGGTGTTGTGCTAGATAAATAAATATAGCACTTTTCCTATCACTGACTTAAACTGAAGTAGTTGTCAATGTGCACTTTTTTTTTAAATTTAAGTATGTATGATGGGAAACGTGATGTTAGTAACCTTAAATCTTCTAGTTTTTCTTTTTTATGAGAGGACACTGCAAATATCAATACTGGTTTATAATGATATTGGAAATTAAGAGTTTACTGATGTCCGGTTTATCGGATATTGGTAAAAAAAAAGAAGCCAATATTAAGCATCCCTAAATGTAAACATTATTTATAGCACTTACCACTATGATGGGTGATAATGTTTTTGCCTGTGTGTTTGTATGTCAAGCTAGCAAAACATTTAATTTAATGAAAATCTTAGAAAGTAATAATTGGACAACCATCAACCGATTAACTTTTCGGAGACCCTGTAATTCAATATGGCCGCCACATTTAAAGAGCAAGTCACCCTCTACCAGAGTACTACTCCGCTCCCACCTCCTGTTTGAAAAATGCAACAAATGCTGTTGCCTAGCAGACCAAGAGGGTGGAGCCGCTAATAACACACACACACACACACACACACACACACACACACACACACACACACACACACACACACACACACACACACACACACACACACACACAGGCTCACAACGACATTGTGACATCATATGGTACCAGCTAACGTTCTAGGGTACCTCTTAACCAATAGCGATGGCAGATTTAAATTCAAATGCAGTGCAGAGTTTTTACCTGACAATGGCACAACACTGACAGTTTTAGGCAGAAAATGAAAATTTTAACTGAAATCCACTAAAGTGCAAAACTATTGACTGCACGTGTCTGCAGCACGATTAGACACGCATTCATGTAGTTTATCAGGAAAAAAAGTTGATTTGGGGGTGACTTGCTCTTTAAGCAACATTAGCCAACACAAAAATGACATTCATTTGGTTTTACTGATTAGCCTTTAATTGTTGATGTCTTGTTCAGTAAAAGGCCTACAATGGTCAAACCTACCAAAAGTTGAAAAGAGACTCTTTTTAGATATAAAATTGAACAAACTTGTGTAACTTGAACAAAATGGCGTTCTACAATGACGACATGAGTTCTCATATATCCACTCAAAGCGCAATTGGAAGAACAACTTACATCCATCTTCACTCATGAAGGCAGCTTTAATGTTGTCTGGCGCTCCGCTCCACTTGCTGATGGACTTCGGATAATCTCTGTACACACTGCGAGTCTGCTCGTTAAAGCGGAAATATCTACACGTGACAGAAAAAATAATTAATTAGTATCAGGAAAGAGATTTCTTCAGAAATGCATTTCTGGTAATAAATTATAAAACCACAGTGATGTTGAGGAATGAAACTATCTAGCGAATTAATGAGTTTTAAAGGACCTGCTGGAAGATCGAGTGACATCTAGTGTTAAAAGTGCATATTGCAACCAACTAAAATGGCCCTTTAGCCTGTAATACCTTCCTAGCATATAGAAAAAAACAACAACTAGTATAAATGAGTATTATTTGAATAATTGTATACATAAAAAACATGTACTCACTCAGTTCCTCTGAAGAAGTATGTCTGTCCTGTAGGCGTGTATAAAAGAGCAGCGTCGATCTTGTCTTTGGGTAAACCAGTGCCCAGGTTCTTCAGGCTGTTAGGTGAGTCCTTCTCCATGGTGGACTCACTGAAAACCCAGTATCTGTCACCTGAAACATCAAGAAAACAAAAACATAAGAACAGGAACAAAATCGGCTTTTCCCCACAACAATCCCAGGGAAACCTACCCTTAAAGAAGACAAATTTCCCATCATCCCTCTCGTAGGCTGCATTGATATTTGAAGGAAGGCCTTTCCAGAACTGACCCATAGGCCTGGGGTAACCCGGCAACACCTTGTTGTTACGTATACGCCAAAACCACTTGTCCTGTAAACACACACAACCACCAAGTTAACTGACAATTTGCTTGGTATGGAAATTTAGACAATATAAAGTACACTTTCTTTGGTGCAAGTTTATTAGTAATGCCTGAAATCTTAAATTAAGCTGATATTTGGAAGACTTTGGATATATATATATATGAGAAAATACACTCCAAATGGTATAAACAAAGTCTTACTGTACCTTAAATACAAACTTTTCTCCTCTGAGGATGGCAATGGTGTCAAAGTGTCCCTCACATATGTCGGGACCATTGTCCGGCTGGTCGGGTTTGGATGGCTTAGTGGGACGAGGAGGAGGAGGGGGAACTCCAGAGTTTGAGCCTGTGTTAAAGGTTTTGTTGAGACAGAAGTGAAAACGACTTTATTTCAAACTCTGTTTGTGTTACTTTCATGTAGTTTTACACCCTTCAATGTAAATTTCTTAACCAATATCTTTTCCAGTGTAATAATGGAACCACCAACCATAAATAGCCTGGATGCCTCTACGATCATCATCTGGAAGCTGGAAGTTTTCTGTATCAAACCACTGGTAGAAAGGGGCCATGATGGCAGAAGGGTCATCGGAGTGCTCCAGACCCAGAGCATGACCCAGTTCATGAACCGCCACCAAGAAAACATCATTTCCTTCAGAAAAAAGAAGGAAAGGTAAGAAACCAGTGACGGAATAATTCTGCAGGGCCAGTAGCAGAAAATAAAACAATACTACCTCCTTGATCCACATTTCCACTAGTCCATGGTTCTGCGAGGTCAAAGTGTGTGTCTCCCCCAATGCCATTCCCAGGGAAGTATGCATGTGCCAGAAAGCCACCTTCACCATCAAATGGCGTGCTGTCACCGTGGAAGCCTTCTGAGAAGGACAACATGATGTCTGCGTATTTGTCAACTTTGCCTTTGATCTGACTGAAGGGAATTTCTCGGAAGGTGAGCGGAATAGCGCTTTCCCACACTCTGAAGGCCTTTCTGATGGCTTCGAACGTTGCTCTCTCACCCACTTTGGGGGTGTAGTTCTCTATGCTGTGGTGGAGAACACAAGGTAAGCAAAGTTTAAAATTTGTAATTGAACTTTGTAAAGTCTTTATTCACACGTTAAACCAGACTCACACATGGAAGAAATAATTAATATGTGTTCTGACCTGAAGGTCACCTCGGACTTGTCCCACTTCAGACCTTGCCTAGCATATCTCTTCCTCCTCAGGTTGGTTTTCAGCTCTGGACCAAACTTGTCGGGGACTCCACACCGCGGTCGCGTCATTGCTCTGTGACGAAACAGAATAATAATCCCAGTCTTCTCTTAAGTGGTGTACATTTTACCAACTTTCACAATTTGAACTCAGCAAGTCAATCAGGACTCACTCTAATGTGTTGGTGTCTATGGAGCCGGTGACAGTCAGTCCATAAAACCTCTGCATGGCCGATATCGCTGATTCAATGGACTGGGGTGAGCGAAGGGCCTGGGCTCGCACATCACCTGGAGGCAGGTAGCCATACTTCTGAAGCCATGCCTAAAACAGCGAGACATGAACAAGGGATGAATAATCCATTTTTTTTCTTTTGATATTAAAAAAAGACTTTTCTTAGGAGAGTAAACGTTTCACTTTCTGTTGACCTGAGCTCAAGCAAAACACACAACCTGCCAAAAATGTAGTTTTCTCACGAAATTCTGATCAACTTATAATATTGATTCTTGAAGAATCCCTTCCCTATGGAAGATTTATGAGTTCATCTACTGGGATGTTTTTTAAAAACGATGCTTTGCAACGATGCATGCACAGACTAAATTATAAAAAGAAATTAAAGTTTGACTGGTTGATTATGCGAATCAAGCAAAATATTGGTTAATTTCAATCACCAGTGCTTCTTTTAGGGGTGGGGTGGGTTCACATGTAATTTTCAGTAATTGTCTTTAAAAATTAAACTGAAGTAAAAGATTATCTATAAGTAAGCCAGAAAGCTACAAAGGCCAATTTTACTCTCATTGTACTTTACACTGCAGAAAATTTCACAAAACATTTATTAATTTCCTTTTATCTTCACCTTTAGAAATTTTCAAGCTGCATTTAATCATAATAAAAACAGGAGTTTACATAATATATATGTATATATGTATATATATATATATATATATATATATATATATATATATATATATATATATATATATATATAGTTTGAATTAGGGCTGGGCAATAAATCGAAAATTTATCGTTATCGAAATTCCTGACTCTTATCGTGATAATTTTTTCTATGCCAATAAATTTGATAATAAAAAAATGAAAAGATGTTTGTAGGTTGGCGGTGTTCATGTCCCTTTAAGAAGCTGTACTGCCTTGAGTCACGTAAAAATGTGGCTCAACTAATACATGTGACAGCCCCATCTAGTGGACAACTTTTGTTTCTGCGCATACCCGTTGTTATCGTCCATTTATCGTTATCGAGGTGAAATCTTCAATATATCGTGATATTTATTTTAGGCCATATCGCCCAGCCCAAGTTTGAATTAATCATTAATCTAACACTTAATATTAAATATAATGTTCATATTATAACCATTTATTTATTTAATTCAATGTAAAAACTAAAATTATTTTGAAGCAAAGAAACAGATAATAATGAAACAAAGCTGTCTTTTATTTTATTAAATCTAAAAGACACTTCTACAGCTCTTATATATTTATATTCAAACTGTAACAGAAGAAAACACATTTAAATTGGCTGCAAAACAGATTAGGTGAGTGTTTTTAACAAGGTCTTTTATTAGTTTTTAACACTTATTTTTAACAACGCCTGAACTAAAAAATCAACGTCGGGCTTGGATGGCTTGGTGAGTGTTGATATAATATCTGCTTTACTACACATTTCTATACAAAATAGGGCAAAACCATTAAAACTTCTTTCTTAAGAAAGAGCCTTATTTTTTGTTAAATCCTCTTTTTGTTTCTATGTGTTAGTTTCTTAAAATTTACTCTGCTTTTTATCAGTAAAGCCTGTAAAAACTGAAGAAAAAAAACAGAAAAGAAAAACCACCTGAAACATCTAAATCTTCTGAGTCAGCAACAGAATGGGCTTGGCATTTGTGTTTATAAGCCTGGAGACATTTTTTAAGGTTTGTCTGGATGGTCTGGGCATGTTTTTCTGAGCTCATTGTGTATACCACAGATTCCACGGTCATCCGAGGAGATAAAGGGTTTTCATGTGTGTACTTCTTAACCCACTCATACTGAGCTAACTCTGCATGCTTTCTTCTCATTTTCTTATGACCGAGACAATTTCCCGTTTACCAGCTCTTAAAGGCAAAACCAGCTCCTCAAACGGCACTGTGATTAATGCTGAACTCGTTTGTTGTGGGCACATTTGGTAGAATGAAGCCAAATTAAACACGCAATCTGCAAACACTGATGTCATTTTAGCTACATTGACCCAGAACTCTGTCTAGACAATTGTGGCCAAAGACAACTGGCAGCTCTAATGGTGGAAAAAGCAACATTTTCAGCAACATTTGAGTTGTTCAAAGCATCTCTCCACTGTACTGTCTGGTACTCTCTGTCGACGTGTCAGCTAAAACCACCACTGTTTATCTTCTACACACATGAAATGTAAGCTGTTTCTTTCCATTGTGTGCTGCTGGTGGTCTATTATTGGATGAAGACACTATTAAAATAGCAAAAGTTAAAAATGTTCCTAAAGATTCAGGGAAACGACTAAAGTCACCACTCGTTTCTGCCACCAGATGTTAGCTTAGCATAAAGACAAACAGTAAAGGAAAAGCTAGCCTGATTAATTCTTTCTAGTGTTAACGTTTCTCAAACTAATGAATTATTTTAAATTCGGACTAATCCACAAAGTCTGAAACATGCATTTTCAAAGTGTGGCATGCACTTGCAGCCCTTGAAAACGTTTTGCGCAGCCCTCAATTGGGGGGAGAAATCAGACATCATATACGAAGACACCCGATAGAGAGTCTGTTAGTCTCCTCTCGTTCCGGTCGGCTCATGGATCCCTGGAAGAGCGAAAAAATTAATACAAGTTAACGGGGCTAAAAACGCTATTTTCTAATCTGCTTTGCCTTATGCCCTGGATCACACATATGCTGTACTTCAATTTAAATGAAAAGTAATGATGGGTGTTTCCACCACGCCTGTCACGTACTTTGAGATTAATCAGCTTGTAAAAGTTCGTAATTAGCATGACTACATAACACATTCTCAAACCCAAGGCGTCAAAATATGAGGCGTGTGACTAAGCCTCAATATATGACGATTCGGGATGCCCCAGCGCGTCAGGAGACGACGATCAGAGACACGTGGCTCCGCTGTCGTCACTGTTTGACGCGCGCAGTCACACGGACATTATTCAACTATTTAACCTTCCCCTCACCCCAATCCTAACCTTAAGGTCCGCAAACTGTGACCTTAAGGTTAGGATTGGGCTGAGGGGAAGGTTAAGTATTTAACAAGTAGTTCTAATGTCCGTTTCAGCACCAGCGTCGGATACCGACGCTCTAGGACGCTGCGTCAGCAGTTTGTCCCTGATCGTGTGACCGCGCGCGTCAAACAGTGACGCCAGCAGAGCCACGTGTCCCTGCGTGTCCCCGATCGTTGTCTCCTGACGCGCTGGGGCGTCCCGATTCGTCATATATTGAGGCTTGGTCACACGCATCATATTTTGACGCCTTGGGTGTGAGAATGTGTTGGACAACAAACCAGACGTCGGTACGTCGCATTCGTGACATCACCACATATTCTCCTCTCCTCTAGCGTAGCTGCTACTTACCACACGCCCAGATTTATGATAGTTTTTTCCACCTGAACGAAGGATTTGAAGTTTGCTAAACTTACAGAAATTTTCTCTCTGCTTTTCTACATGTCTGGTTTGATGATGTCACTTATGTGATGCGCATTTGTAGTACTGGACTCACTTTCACACAAAACCTAAAATAACGTTTCCCCCCATTTGAAAAGAAGCGCTTTCTTGGTATCAAAATGTGGAATTAGAAAATAGCGTTTTTATCCAAAATGACTTGCATTCATTTTTTCATTCTTCCTGGGACCCATGATCCGGAAATAGATGGGCGTAAGATAGGCTCTCTATCGCTACTTATTGGAGTTGGCACAGCAGTGGACTGCCATCTTTGAAGGGTCTCTGTTCACCTTTGGTGCATTTATTTCTATCGAGGAAGGTGTTTACCCAACTAAAAAACACATTTTATTATGCTTTTTACAAAATCAGACACGTGGTATATGATCTATAAAATATAAATATAATAAAATAAATTATAATATAAATCTCAACAGGTGGGCTAGAAAAGTGAATGGTAATCCCATGTGATCTCTTTTTAATAGTGCTAGTTGTTGCAACCATGGGCTCTACAAAAAACGTGCGAGTGAGGAACCTATCCAATATGGTGGCAATGCTGTTAAAGTCTCCAGTGCCCAATGAGATGTCTTCGTATTCATGTCTATGTGGGGAGGGTGAAAAAATTGATGGCTGGTCCTCTCAGCCATTACAAAATCATCCCTCTCAGAAATTAGCTAAGACGCCAGCATATCACGACCGTTTCAGCGCTGAGTGATGTCACTGATCAGCACCAAAAGGTGCCCACGGACATTTTTTTTTCTACAAAAGTATGTCCTATTTAATCTGTTCAGGTTCAGGGGACCGCAAAAAGTTCAATGACCAGAACAATCGTCGCTTTTTTATGCCACTCTATAGGAGACGACAAAACAGCAAAATAATTTCCTAGTGAGTTACAGCCAATCAGCATGAATTTACCACAAGTCTTGCCCAGTGACTCTACCGGGCCATTTCCAAGTACATACTGCAGTTTAGGTACTTGGTTGGTCAATGAATAGTTGGTCAATGGCCTGGGAAATGGTCCTTCCTGGGAAGTCCGATGAAATGAATACCAGGAGGTTTGGTAAAATTACTCATGAGGTCCATAAAGTTCCCATAGTGGAAATGTCCTTTAGAATGGATGAATTTTGTTTCCAGGAGGCTGTTGATACAAATAGATCCAATATGTACTAATAAGCTTCTATGTCTATTTTTGGACAATGCAAATAAAAAACCCTGCATACATTTTTTTTTTCAAATAAGAAAATATAACTTTATGTGGCCCGGGAGGACTTTCGGCCCTAGCATTAAAAGGTTTGAACACTCCTGGTCTAAAAAGTAAGCTAAACTATGAGGTGAGACCATAGTTAGCTTAGATATGTTAGTGCTTTATAGAGTCAAGCAAGCTGGTCCAACATCTGCATTCAATAAGCTCTATAATTACAAAGCTGGCTTTTTGGAGCAATAATTCTCAAGCATGCTTTTAATTTTTCATCTGCTCACACAGAGTTAACACACGTTTATATCTTCACCACCAATGAAAATGGTGGAACTACCCTGAATCCCTTTGTTAGTATAATCCAAACCTCAGATAGCTCTCTTGTTCCACCGTGTGTGCTGGTTTTCTGCCTCCAAAAACAGGGGGAGGGATGGAAATCTAAAAGCTAAACTG